TGTCTACACCAGCTCACCCCAATCTCCCAAGTTTGGAGAAATTTAAAGGAAATCCCCAAAGTCAAATGAACTTCCCCAAAGTTTGCGGAAATTCGGGGGCATTGTCTAAGGTTAAGGAGAAATTTTGGCAAGCTCCTGAACGTTAATGAGGTTTGAGTGTCACTTCCCTAAAAAGTCCTTAAAATTTTTATAGCGGCTTGCTCGAAATGGGTCATATTTTCTCCAAAATTCGGAGATCGGTATCGCATCGTATGAATTACCAATATATTGTAGTGGTGTTCATAGTCGATCGCGACTCGACTCCACGCTACAATTGGTGAGTTAAATCTGGGAACATGTCTCAACCTCGGTCAAATCTTCCAAAGAAGGCAGTTCGGTGAGTCTATTGTTCATCTATCCACGTCTGTGGTGTATTTTCACATTAATTTTTAATATATAATATACTCCACTTGACGGATAATAATAAGAATAGTATTAATATAATAGAATCCGATGTACGCGTACCAAATCTCAGGCGTTTTCATCCGCGTGACGATATATTCCACGCTTTATTCGAGAAATTTCCCCAATTAACTATTCTCACTGAGCCGGCTGCTTGGTACGGAACGCATACGCGCTACCGCCTACCACCCAGCATCAAATGGGTTAGTTGGACGGTTACGTCGCCAACTTAAAAGTGCTCTCCAAGCACACGAAAACAACAATCGCTACGAAACCTTACCGCTTGTCCTCTTAGGTATCAGAACGAGCTTAAACACAGATATCCAATGTTTCGCCGCTGAACTTGTATACGGCACGACATTGCGTCTGCCTGGGGAATTCTTCACACCACGGAGCTGTTACAATTTTGGTAAATCAGACAACGTCCATCCACTGTCCATATTTATGCGAACACTGTCTCCGGTGTCAACTCGAATACAACATCGACAAGTCGCTCTTCCTCGAGAGTTATCTACCTATTCACATGTTTTCATACGAGTAGATTCGGTACGCAAACCTCTGCAACAGCACTACGAAGGACCTTTTCACGTGATCTCTCGTCACGAAAAGATCTTCAAGGTTGATCGACATGGCCGTGTCGAGGTAGTCAGCATACGTCGATGACAGTGACATACTCTATAACTTGAGATCCAATGCTAGACCTATCAAACCTACTAGCGGGATCTCTACATTTACCTCGGATCCCACGCTAGATACATCGGGGACCTTATTCTCACGTCTCGGTCAACAGCACGCGTCATCTGCACCATCTACGGACGAGACTTCCGTCCAACGTTCAGATCAGCAGACCACGCCGCCCTTGACCTCGTATGAAATCGCAGGCTCACGAAGTACGAACGAGACTACCGTCTCACGTTCCGGTCGCCGAGTACGCTTACCCGTACGCTCTCGCGACTAACCGCACAGTCAACAACGGATACAGTGTAGGACTTTCTGTACTACACGCATGCTACCTTTTCTTTTCTTTTGATTTTTTTGTATCCTGAGCCCACACCTCCGACCACCGCCCGTTTGGTAACGTCGACTTCAGTCAACCTTGGCGAAAGCTGGCCTGATAACCCACACTCTTGCCAACACACTCAGTCGATAATCTGGTTTCGAATCTGTCTGGCATATATTTGGTCTCGCAATTGATTGTTATGATCGCTTCCGGTTTCTTGGCTCAACGTGCCTTCGTCCTACGTCTAAAGCGTTTTCTGGGCCCAACGAACGCAATCTTCAGATCCTGGATACAAACCACTCTGCTGTGGTATGCTAACTCGAGCAACAAATACAGCACACTTCTGGTACATTCTCCGTAAAAGACTTTCGTTGGTAACTCGAGGATCAACGATCACTTCCTGTTTCGCCAATTTCCTCCGTCCTACAATCGCTCGTCAGCCGATCGGCCCCACGAACCAAACGGCTACTTGTCGAAAGTGGAAAGCCTTTCTAGAGGGTGGCTCCTGTGGTGACCTACTTCTATCAAGAGAACGCGATTAGTTTAATGAAAACAATTATTATTATAAATAATTGTGCCAGTGATTGTTTTGCTGTGCTCGTTTGTTTAACTGTGACAGCCATACTGCCCTTCCATCGGTCTCCATTACATTCTGCGCTGTTTGTGACTCTGTACGCACGTACTCCTTCCTGTCGATTCCACTTGTACCATTTTGACACGATCTTGGTATTCGTTCGATACCACGAGATCGCCAACGAATAAACTTGGTTACAATATTTTCTCGCCTCCTGATTTGCTTGGTACGCGCTTAACTTGTAATGGTGTTCATAATCAATCGCGACTCGAAGATGGAGACAACACTTGGGCTAGGGATAGAACAATACATTTTTTATAAATAAAAGATATAATGCAACACTCACGAATGACCACGATCGCAAGGCCGATGCACGACATCCGATGAATTGAGTTCCGAATGAATTGATCAAATTTATTGTTCCCACCTTCTCCATTGTTGGGTTTTTCTCCGCGTTAATTTTTGAATGTCTATTCTGCCAGTTATCTCGTGTTCAGCTTTGAGGATTGTGTGGTCAGAGCTTGATACCAACACATGTCCTCCTACTAATAATTCGTGTTTCCTTTTACTACTACGTCTATAATTTTTAGCTATATTTTTATATGTAAACTCATTTAAAAGACTTTGAAATGACATTGAAACATGGAATTAATGATACATTTAACTATATTTCTTACCTCAAGATTTGGAAATCGTTAGAAATCCTTTATAGGGTCATATGGACGCAAACCTAGGTTAGCGTCTGTCTGCTCTAAATTTTTCAGGTTGTCAATAGAAGAGAATGACCTCTTCTGAGACATTCTTTTAAGTGTTTGTGAGCACTTTCCGCACAATTGTTTGTGTGATTTCCCAGGCTTAGTATATGTCGCTGGTAGCAGCAAGCCCACAATGACTCTCGAGCAATCCAATTATCTCACATAAAATCATATGCCCGTGGAAAACGGGTTCTGAGGTCTTCGTACTTCTGAGTAAATCTGAATATAAGGTTTTATGAAAAGCGAAGCTCACATGACTATTACGAGATGTTCCAAGCATTTGCGTACATCAGGATTTCTGAACTACAGCAAATAATTTGTACACTTAATGCTTAACTCCCTGGAAAAGGCTCTGAAGACATGAAACAAACACCGTATTATGTCTGCATGACTGGGTGTAGCCCGTATCGTAGAAATTTTGGTCACAGCCGAACGCATAACGAAAGTGTGAGTATCATAAGTACCAAAAGTCATGTTTTCGAAGTATTTCAGCAGTCGTACGACGTCTTCACGTCGTTCTTGCCAGCAAATAGAACACATAACAGTGTGCCCTTGCCCAAGTCTATGAATAGCCACTAGCTGGAACAGTGTAAAACTTTAAGATAATTTTTTTACTATTCGTTACCCACACAAATGTGTTGGTCTGATATGTCGAGTCCATACATACATAAAACTGTTTTCTCCTTGCGATATGTTCCCACTTTCATTGAATAACTTTACATCAGTGTTTGCTTGAACGCACCGTAAAATCTCGTTAATATTTTGAGTTTCTAAACTCAAATAATTAGGATGTGAATTTAACAACCTGGTTACAACTATGATCGCATTTTTTTGTCGATATCGTCTTTATAAGCTGTTTATGGAAATTCCAAGAAACCAGATGTCGTGAGATACGAGTTTTTGTATTGCTCAGTATAAATGATGTTAAGTATCATCGTTCACTTGGCGACAACTATCGTCTTGATAGATATACAGAAATCTATCATTCTTTTTCATTCGTCACAATTTACAGTACGGAAACATAATATTTCCTCTCCCACTCCAAAAGGGTAAGGACCCTCTGTAACGTATCTAACGGCAAGCCTCGAAATCAGTTTGGCAACTCAGATTTAAACCTTTATCCATTGGAGTACAGATGTCTTGGAGGTGACCCTCTAATGACTTACAGCATCCTTACCACTTCTGTACATCTCCTTAAACATCTAATTAAGTTTAGCTCCAACACAAACCTAAGGGGTTACATGCAGAACCCGGAGACAAAACAGCGGAAGGGACTGTAGACGCAACTCCTACTCTTTATGAGTTGTAAAACGCTGGAATTCGCTGTCGGCTGAGCCGTTCCAGGAGATTTCCCAGGAGTCCTTTAAGAGGAACCTTGATCTATTCTTTAGGACTAACGATAGTATCTTGCTATGATTTACCAATTTCTTTTTTCATCTTTCGTCGTTGATATACCTAGGTTCCTGCCTGGAGGTATTGGTGATCCACTGCTACTAGACGCGGAAGCCCGTTAAGTGGAAGCTCCTTCTATTCCATCCAAAAGGATTCAAAACATTTTTGAACCATTTGTGAAAAGATGGTTGTTGACGGTTTTAATAGAGGTGACTTTTAGTTCACCGTTTACGGCACAGACCAAAAATCCAGATTGACAGTGGTAGTATTTCGACCTAGAATATAAATTCATTCGAAATAAACCATACGTAGTTGACCGACGTCGTCTTTGTTTGGGTTGTGTTGGTGAGTTAGAAGTTGTATGCTCTTCGGAACAATGTTGACCACTATTATCATCTACATTTTGAAGACAAGCATCTGATTCTGACAGACTGCGTCTACTTCCATACATACAGATATATCTGAAGAAAAAACACTTTAGAGTTGGGTCATCATTGTTCTTTTTACATACTGACATGACATAGTTAGTCTGCGTATACTGTAAAAAAAAAATTATTCACCACAGAAGTCTCGTTGCATAATGTACTTCTTTCAAACAAGTCTCAAAATTGTCTCAACTTGTAAATCGTAGCGACAACATAATATTATTGAAGATTTGTCATATATCATGAGTCATTACGATGGCACCACTTTCGTTACATAAAAAATGAACATTATCGGACATAAGTGACTGAAGTCAGATCAAATCTAAAAATGTATTGATTTGACAGCTTCTGCAAAATCTTACAAATTGTCGTGGTGATGCACTAATTGTTTTACGACAGTATGACTTTCAAGGGCAACCTCCAAGGGGGACGATACATCTGGCGCGCGTTCTGAGTGTGTTCTCACCGGCATTATCTTAGCTGAGTGCACTGCAACGTCACGCCCTACTTTAGACTTTCAGATGGAAGCCATATGGGTTACAATCGTCGTATTTCTGCTCATAGTGACGTCACATAGTAAGTCTTACAAGTTTTTCAATGTCCTGCAGCGAAAAATTCCAGTGATTTTGTCCCTATTCATGAACGGGAAGGAGTTACACTCGGCCAGAGTGTCCCTACTGGTCTACACGTTAAACAAAATTTGAACACCGAGCACTTAAAAGCTAAACTTATGGATGTGATGTCTAACACTTCCAACATAATTTCAGGTTAGTTGTGTGTTCTGTTGAGTCAGTAGGTGAAGCTGTGAAACCTGCCATAAGTGTGTCGACATATTCAGGAGAGGATAACTTGAATGAGCCAGACACTCAATCAGTCATACGGTTTCGTTCATATGACGAATTAAAAAAAGACTTCCAGAAAATAAACATGAATGTTAAGACAGATTCCGAAATTATAAATGATATAATGGCTGAAATAAAACAGGATAATTCCTCAGATGAACGATTAGCGGTACTTTTGGAAGATCTGTCATATTACCTGCACCAGGTACAGCTGTAATCTGATCATTTCCACTTACAGATTGACAATGCGAAGATTTTTTCTACAAATGGTTTCGAAACACTTTCAAGGCTTTTACACCACCCCAGTTATGAGGTTAAAAAAGCTTCTTTGAGAGCCATTAGCGCTGCTACTCAAGGGTGCGTTCATTAAAACGTTTCTAAGTATGATAGCACTTGTGCGTTCAGTAAATGCTGTCGAACTATTTGAATTTTTTTCATTCCTCTGACCAAACGTCAGTTTCGCTTTCACTGTCATATTTTTTGCTAGGCAGTGATAGAATGGGTATCTATTGAATGTAATGCTTAATCCAATTTGGTTGTCCTTGCTCAAGCGTGGTCGGCCTGTGCTCCTCCAAAAGGGTTAACAGGCGTAGCCAACTAAGCCACGTATGGTGGGATTTAAATACTATTGGGTATTTAGTAGTTGTAGTTTTCTTCCAAAAAGTTGTCGATTACTCTAGCATTCTAAAGTTTATTGGTCTCATGACTGCATTTTAAGTTGAAATAACTTAAAATGCAGTCATTTCAAGTTTTTGTTCTCGTGACCTTATGTTGTGCCTCTCTAGTCAGCATTTCCACAAGTTCAAACGATGTAATAAGTAAGGAGCCATGTGTCGTTTAGTCTCATCACTTTTCCTAACATCAGTCTCTTGACGTCCTCAATTATTTAGTCCGGATCCACTTTGTGTTAATTGTTCTGTATCACTTATCTTGCAAGGCTCCATGTTAATACTTACAGTATCTAAACTTCTGAAAGTTCATCCTTTGCTCATTGAAGCGTCGGGGCTTTTTTAAAACTGGCAACATATTAAAAACTTCGGGAAAAATATCATATTGTAGTCGACAAAGAGATTTCATGTCATCTGTGGCTGTCTTTTACTTCACTACCATAACGCGCGTCACAACAGTATTTGTTGGTCCCACAGACTGTTTTCTTATTTCCTCTTTCCACAGTTAAACGTACAATAGTTCCGTTCGACCTAACATCTCGCAAATTATGGGCTTATAAGATACGCTATCTTTACTTCGAAACAACCTCAGTTGATAGCTTATGCCTGTGAATACTTGCTGTCACTGCTTAAAATGTAACTTATTAGATTCATTATATGATTTTGCCTTGACATTTTAGCACAGTTCTGAAACAATTACATAGGGTAACATCCTTACCATCCCCTCCACATTCTGATCCAATACTCAGGAAAATATTTTTGATAAATTCGAATAAACGGGCTCCTCAGCATATTACAATCGAGAAAACAATTGAAAACGATTTGCTGACTATCCTAATGTAATTGTTTCAGGAAAAATGTTACAAACCGCTGTTAATATTGCTCACCACATTTTTCTGTTTGGTAAACTGTTTATTTATCTTCCTATCTATATAACACATTCTGCTTGTTATAAAATTAGTCAGCTTTGACTGACAATTTATAATCACGTATATAAAATCAATAAAAACATGTGATAGGTGCTACTAGTATGCAAAGCGAAAATATTCTTCCAGAATCTCCCCATTCGTTAACATATAAATAGTCAACCACCAAAGCACTTTTATTATTTCCCCGTACTTAATTCAATCTTATCAATCTGGTAAAAGGTATGTAAGCTGGTCTTTAAATAATTATTATCAACTCTAGGTTTTAAACAGCTGATAAGTTTCCACGAAGTACCTTTCATACAACCACCTTTCTCCACTATTCCATTCAAGCAGTGGGGTTAGACAGGGTTGCCAAATCTCACCATTCCTCGTCAACTTTGCCATCGATGACATTCTGGAAACAGTTCTGATGGATGTAAGTAATGGTGGTGTGGATCTGTTACCTGGAGAAAGACTTCTCGACCTTGAGTATGCGGATGATAATGTCTTACTGTGCGATGATGCTCAAGGCATGCAATCCGCACTTAATCAGTTGAAAATCAGTGTCCGTAGGTATGGTATGTGCTTTGCACCTTCGAAGTGCAAAGTACTCCTACAAGACTGGCAGGATTCTAATCATGTACTCACCCTGTATGATGAGCAGACAGAAGTAGTCGAGAAGTTTCGTGTATCTAGGTAGCTGCATAAGTGCTGGTGGTGATGAGATCAATTCAGGAATAGTGAAAGCCAGAGCGGCTTATGCCAATCTGGGCCACCTTTGGTGCCTTCGTGATGTCAGTCTGGCTGTATAAGGTCGGATCTACAAAGCGTCGGTGAGAGCAGTTTTGCTCTATGCTTGTGAAACCTGGCCTCTCCGAGTTGAGAATGTTAGACGACTCTGTGTTTGATCATCGTTGTCTCCGAAGGATTGCTGACATCTAGTGGCAGCTCCATGTTAGTAATGCAGTGGTTCGGCATCGCGTGTTCGGGCACAGCGACGATAATCGAGTTGGCGTCACCATGTTGAAACATAGACTTCGGTGGCTTGGACATGTTCCATGAATGCCGTCCCAGAGAATTCCTCGTCATGCATTATTTGCCGACTCTGGGACTGGTTGGGAAAAGCGGAGAGGTGGTCAGTGTATGACATGGTGTCGTGGTATGAAAGAAAGCTGCAAAGGGCTGGCTTGTGTTGGTCATTCACGACTCCCTGGCTGTTGTCCTAGAGATGGTACAACACAGTGGCTAGAGACGTTATCAGATATGGCTCAGAATAGAAGCCAGTGGCGATCCTGCTGTAGCCTTCTTTTACTTTCATAAAAAGTGGTTGTATCTTTTTTAACTGAAAGAATTCTTCTGATTGTGCCTTTCCGTTGCCCTCATTATCATTACTATTACACCACGTTACACCAATCTGGTCGTTATTGTTCTTCTTTTTTTCTTATATGCATCTCAGCTTTTTTCTCTTCCTATTCTCATTGTTTTGTGTGGCGCATATATATTTGGTGCCCTCTTGTACCAATATTCATGTGTTCAAATAAATTTCATATCTCACTTCTGTCCCATACTACTGCTCGTGGAAATTGTATAAGCATTTTGTTAGTGTACTTTTAATTTTCCAATGTTCAACGTTCTCTGAGTCTTTTACACTATATTTTGGGGCAGCTGTCAGTTCACTAGAAGTTAACAAAATCCACTAATATTTTTATTACTTCATTACAGTTGTTTACATATTCTTTCGTCTTCATGGTCGATTAAATGTTTAGTTGAATCCCTTAATGCATCCTTATTTTTCATCTTCGAAGTTAGCTCTCAAGGGTCTTCCTGTTGTGAATTTACCATGTTTTAGTAAAACTCCTTTCTCTTAATGAAATATGACTGGAGTCCAAGCTTGCTTTCCAGAAAACTTCCTTATTTAAGCCTCTCTAACGGATGCTGGTAGATTCTGTCTACCCTTATACTTTAAGTTAATTCTTGATAAGAATAAACAGCCGCTTACACATAATAGCTGAGAGAGATCACTGTTATTTGTTCTCTGGATTGGAACTCTAAGATATATTTAAATTATTTTAGCTCTTTGTCTACTTACCTACGAATCAAAATCATCATCTGCGATTATGGGATATGAGAGCCTAGCTTCCTGAGAAAGGTCGGATAGCTTCCTATTAAACTTATCTTTTACTCCTCTCGAGCCCCAATCAATGGGGGCGCAGAAGGAAATGACAAGGATGCAATAGAATGTGTCTGCCTTTCTTATTTACTACTGTACCGCTTAATAAGACAACCCACAAATCATCCATAGAAATCCATTTGAATATTGCTTCTTTTGCTTTCTGCGGTGATCGGACGAGAACCGGTGCTTTCAACGTGGTATGGTCGCCGGCTAAAAGGGACGAGTATACTGCGCGGCAGTTCGTTCCGTCCTTCTATACGGCTGCGAAACATGGCCTTTAAGAGTGGAAGATATTCGTAAGTTACTAGTATTTGACTACAGGTGCCTTAGAAATATTTCGGGTATCTGCTGGGATCACCGGGTAAGTAATAGTGAGGTTAGACGCAGGGTATTAGGGAATGATGGTAAATCAGTTGATGAGGTTATGAATCTTCATCGACTGAGATGGTTGGGCCACGTGTTGCGTATGCCTGAACACCGATTACCACGACGCGCAATGCTGACTAGTGCAGGGGATAATTGGAAGAAAGTTAGGGGCGGCCAAACCAAAACGTGGCATCAGTGCTTGAAGTCACTAACTTCTGGTCTGAGCCATGTTGGGAGATTCAGACTGCCTGGTTGGGGTCCGCGTGACTATCGTAACCAATGGTTGGAGACTCTTGGTGACATGGCTCAGAATCGATCAGAATGGCGTCGGTGTATACACTCTCTGTCTTCCTTAAATTAAGAGATTAAAATCGCTTCATATCTGTCTAGGAACTAATTCTTTCTTCCCTTACTATCTCCTTATACACAATCTTCTATATATTACCACCACTGTATTAACTACTCCTATGAATCCGGTGTTCATCTTGTTGTGCTAATGCGGTATGGCAACTTGGACCGATGCATATACGTGCTGACTGACTGACTTTTGCTTTCTTAGTGCTATACTTATACATGCAAAACTATGGAAATTCGCTATCGCATTTGTAAATACTATATTTATGGGTTGTTCGTCGATCTTTTTTTTGCATATTGTTTTAGATGATAGTCGAATAAAAAGCTAAATGCGCTGCTTCTTTTATTTAATATGATTGTTTATTAACATTACTGTTTCAAAACGTGAGTGTTACCAAGCTTCCAAATCTTAGTGAGTGTTTTTTCAATAATCATGTTTATAGGATTCCTGATGTTCAGGTAGTCGCACTTCAAAATGGTGTGGTTGACCAACTACATTCTTTTTTGATAGCAAACATGGATGAGCAAGATTCATTGGAATTCACTACGTTACTATCAGGAGGAGTGTCAACATTAGGTGCGTTGCTACGTAACTTCCCAATCGCTCAAAAACAGTTCTTTTCAACTTCAGTAATATCGCCATCTGGTTTCGAGCTGCTTGCACAACTTAGTCGTCTAAACACTTCAAATGGTATTCGAGGCTTACGAGTTCGAATCCTGACTCTTTTGACAGATCTTTACAGTGAACGGGTATGTTCATTTTTGTGTCTAAATTGTATACATATGTCATTACGAGTGATATATTGTTTAATACTTCGAATTTACGTACCAGTTGACGTATTATCATGGTTTCCTAAGAAAACAACTATGTTAGAGAATTGCATAAATGCGTAAATCTAATATGATTAGGAATGAGAGGTTTGATACTGTAATTAACCTTCACCTTTTAGCGTTCAGCCTCATTCATAAACTGCCTAATAGTGGTGGGAGTAGTCATCTTACTGTCTAGTGCAATTTGCTAAGTGGTTTCTATTGGAATATAGTCAGGTTTTTGCCACATCAAGTCCTCACCATTGTGAATAAACCTCGTCAATTTCTTTTTATCCACGTACATGTAAGTTTAAAACTGAAGTGACAATAATAAAGTTTTTAAAATGATATCGTGTTAGTGTATAGTACATCGGTTTCAATGAATAAATGATAAGATTAATCCGTTCATTCACTCATTTCTCCCATTACGAAATCAATTCCTCACCGTTGGTGACACCTTGACATAGTGGTTGGGCTCGCGTATCGTGATGAAATAATTGAACTGTACTAACTGGAATAATCGTTCCTCAAGGTTCTACAATGACTGACAGGTCGATTGAAGAGCGGTACGACTAAAAGCAGCAAACCCAAGCTCCGAGGGTGAAGTCGTACTACTAACTGTACAAAAGTGTGACGACAGTAAGGGGTTTCCCTCAAACAACCAGCATAACAATAATGCTGCCTTCCCACATTGGAAGGGCGAGGTTAGATAAGGTTGACCCTAAAAGTGCACAACTCATCCCACGGATTTCATTCTCCGGCGTTAAGGTCTCAACAAGTGAGGAGCTAACACAAAAATTACTCATAAAATGGTCGTGTGTGACCGATCACAAGCAGTTGTCTCTTGGACACTGCGGTCACGCTCTCAGATCGCTAAGACCAACTCTAGTCCAATTTCCTTTTCAGGTGCCTCTAGAATAACCCTCCCACGGTGTGGGCAACCGAGAAGTGATAACCGCCCTCATACCTCTAAAAGTACTCAAGACCACTGTATTCATAATCAACCTCCCTCTTCAATTCCTATTATCCCTCCTAAATTGACTTTCAAGCCTAAACGTCCTCAACTGCAACCATGGCTAACGGCTCTAGTGCGCGAAATACTGTCTCAAGTCTACGGAAACCTCGCTCCAAACTACACATTGGAGCCTTCCATGTGCGTACCTTATGTCAAATCGGTCAGCACGCTTCCTTGGTTAAAACCCTAGAATCTCGTACCATTGATGTATACTGTGTCTCCGAATCACGCATACAGGATCCTAGTGTGATCACTCACTTGACCATACTTAGCAAAAACGGGGAGTCCACGAGATACCCTCCGTTTACCTGGCGACCCGATGGCAGATTCTAGTGGACTGGTACGTGTAGGCATAGTACTACGTACGAGGGCAGAACAGAAACATTTCGAATGCATCACTGTTAACAGTCGCCAATGTACTCTTTGGCAAGACGGATCAGTAAGAACTCGCTCCCACTGACTGCATCCCGGATGAAGTGAAAGATGACTTTTACAGAAAGTTTTCTGAACTTCTTCATAAAGTAGATTCCAGGAACAACTAAGGTCACACTTAGATAGTTCCGAAAACGAAGATGACCCAGATGTTGCTGGGAAAGATATACAAACAGCAGTGACATCTGTTAGTGATTTAAACCAAAGGGTTACAAAAAACCAATTGATTTCAACTAAGTTTATTGCACTGATGAGTTCTCCTAAACTCATTCCATCAGGCTCTGAAAATGATGTAAACCGTAAGCAAATGAGATCACGATGCCGAACCTCTGCATTACTAACATGGAGCTGCCACTAGATGTCAGCAATCCTTCGGAGACAACGATGATCAAACACAGAGTCGTCTAACATTCTCAACTCGGAGAGGCCAGGTTTCACAAGCATAGAGCAAAACTGCTCTCACCGACGCTTTGTAGATCCGACCTTATACAGCCAGACTGACATCACGAAGGCACCAAAGGTGGCCCAGATTGGCATAAGCCGCTCTGGCTTTCACTATTCCTGAATTGATCTCATCACCACCAGCACTTATGCAGCTACCTAGATACACGAAACTTCTCGACTACTTCTGTCTGCTCATCGTACAGGGTGAGTACATGATTAGAACCCTGCCAGTCTTGTAGGAGTACTTTGCACTTCGAAGGTGCAAAGCACATACCGTATTTACAGTAGCGAAAGCAAAATAGATGGAAAAAGCGGTGGCTGTAGGTAACACAAGACAGCTCTACAGACTAGTAAAAGAAACTGGAATTAATAAGTCAAGTCTGAGACTATCTCGGAAAAAGACGACACTCATCTGCTCCCAGTCCAGACGTTTAAAACGATGGGCGAAACACTTTAAGGAGCAGTTCAGCTCACATTCAACTGCTCTACAACTACCTTCCATTCCCAGACAGTGTGAATGGAACATTGAAGTAGGTCCCTCAACTCTAGCTCAAGTTCGAAAGGCTATAGCTAATCTGAAACGAAGAAATGCAGATGGTCTAGATGAATATACTCTAGAGGTCTTTAAGGATGGTGGTCCAATTTAGCGATTAGGTTGACTAATATTTTGGCTAAAATCTGAGAGTTCGACGTAATCCCATCTAACTGGTCACAATCACTGATTGTCCCAATACATAAGAAGCGATCAAAATCATCCTGTGATAACCATAGAAAGATTAGTTAGACCAATATAGTATCTAAAATACTAGCTTCAATAATTATCGGACGCCCAACTAAGACTCGTGAACTGAAAACACGTGAAAATCAGGCTGGCTTCAGACCTGGTCGTGGCTGCATCGACCACATATTCACCATTCGTCAGGTTCTAGAACACAGGCATACTTATCGGCGTCCGACAATGGTGGTCTTCCTTGATTTAAAAGCAGAGTTTGACTCTGTTGACCGAGAGGTTCTGTGGCAGTGTCTGTCATTGAAAGGCGTACCTCAGAAGTACATAAACCTTGTGAAGGCTCTTTACTCGAACACTACTAGTCGGGTCAGAGCCTATGGCGAACTGTCATCTGCTTTTGCAACCTCAAGTGGCGTCCGTCAAGGCTGTCCACTTTCTCCTTTTTTGTTTAACTTTATCATAGACATCCAGATGGAAATAACGCTCTCATCGACTGAATTCTCAGGTATTGATCTCCTACCACGAGGTTCACTTATTGACTTAGAATACGCAGATGACATAGTTCTGTTTGGTGAAGACGCTGATGAAATGCAGAGTCTTTTGGTAGCACTGAGCAACAATGCCAGAATATTTGGGATGCGCTTCTCTCCCTCTAAATGCAAGTTGTTGCTTCAGGACTGGTCTTCGTCAACACCTGAACTAAGGATAGGGAGTGAAGTAGTCGAACGTGTTGACAACTTCACTTATCTTGGAAGTCTGGTCAGCCCTAATGTGTTGGTGTCTGACGAAATCTCAGCACGGATTCGAAAAGCTCGTTTGGCTTTTGCCAACTTACATCACTTATGTCTTGGGCCAGATATCCTTCTATCAATTAAGGGACGAGTATACTGCGGGGTAGTTCGTTCTGTTCTACTATATGGCTGCGAAACGTGGCCATTAAGAGTAGAAGATACTCGTAAGCTTCTGGTATTTGACCACAGATGCATTAGAAATATTGCCTGCATCTTCTGAGATCGTCAGTTAAGTAATAGTGAGGTTAGACGCAGGGTATTATGGAATGATGGTAAATCAATCGAAGTGATTGTAAATCTTCATTGACTGAGATGTTTAGGCATGCATTTTACGCGTGCCCAGCCACCGACTACCACTGTGTGCAATGCTGACTAGTGTTGGAGACGGATGTAAGAAAGTTAGGGTTGGCCAAACCAAAACGTGGCATCAGTCCTTGAAGCCACTAATGTTCGAGGGGGTGTTGTTTACCAAATGGAGAGGACGAAAATGCTGTGATCACCGGGTATGTAATACTTGGGTTAGACGCAGGATATTAGGAAATGATGGTAAATCAGACAATGAGGTTGTAAGTCTTCATCGACCGAGATGGTTGGGCCACGTGTTGCGTATGTCTGAACACCGATTACCACGACGTGCAATGCTATCCAGTGTTGGGGATGGTTGGAAAAAAGTGAGTTGCGGCCAAATCAAAACGTGGCATCAGTGCTTGAAGTCACTAACTACTAGTTTGAGCCATGTTGGTAGATGCAGTCTACTTGGTTGGGGTCCGCCTGACTATCATAATCAATGGTTGGAGACTCTTGGTGACATGGCACAAAATCGATCACAATGGTGTAGGTGTGTACACTCTCCGTCTTCCCTTAAACTATGAGATCAAAATTGCTTCATATCTTTCTTTCTACGAACTAATTCATTCTTCCTGTACTATGCCTTTATATGTAATATTTCTTTAAATATTACCATCATTGAAATAACTACTTCTATGAATCCGGTGTTCTCCTTGTTGTGCTAATGAGGTGTGGCAACTTGGACCGACGCATATATGTGCCTGATCCTACGTTGTAGCTGACTGACTCCCACAGTAGGCTGTTGTTGATGTTATTCGACCAACAGATATTGAGTATCTTGCGTAGACAATTGTTTAGAAATACAATTAAAAGACACATCGAGTTAGACCCAGTCTATGAACCTTTGTAGAATAGATCAGTCAACCATAAAGCCAGTGGTAGACTCACAAAGACATTCAACCTAACTCCTAATGCAAATAAAAGCAAAACCTGCAAAGATAGTCATTAACAAGTCCTTGGAATGACCTAATAGAACCTTTGTAAAATAACTAAAAATCTCACTTCACTATGAATTATGTCCTGAAGATACCCATTATCCGCAATTAAATCATCTAGCTCAGAGAACTCAACACCAAAAGATGTTATCTAAATTCTAGTGGTGTTGAGGGTTTTTAGTTAGGGAACCACACTGTTGTTGTTATGCTTAGGCCATTATTTAAATATCGTCTTTGATGGCTCCATGACAATAAATCTGATACTTTAGTCTTATGCTAGCTAACAACACTGGAAAAATCAATAGTCTTTACTATATAGAAAGGATTGGCTGTAAAGTTTTAGGATAACATTGGTGATTATATACAGTCGTGCCATTTTGGTGCTTTTCTAACTAGTATGTTCACAATACTTAGCTATTAAATTTAGGTGTACTGTCAAACGGTATCTAATTATGTGTTTACATGACTCGTCTGATTTCATAGTACTAACAAATTATTTTATTTTACAGTTCTAATTCATTTTAAGTGTTTAATTTATTATTATTATTTTAGCTTGATTCCCAAATAGCTTTTGGGGAAGACCCCACAAAAACAAAAATGGATGTATGGAATATATATGCTAGGTGAGTTCCGACGGATTCATACCTGCGTATACGCAAATCTATTGATCGCAATATTTTTCTTGTTCAATTCCACTCCTCTTGTATGAATCCATGATTCTTGTTTATGACTGTAGGAGAAATATATCGTCTTTAATCCAACTCTCGTGTAAAATCGAGTTGGAACAACAATTTTTACTTTTCGTTGGGTGACCATGAAATATTCAATTTGTAATGTCGAGTGTTGGTTCGTTAGATAAACCAGGTCCAAAATCCATCAGATCGGTCTGTTCATATTACTCACCCATGTTCAAAGCCAACTACACATTATTGTGTTTGGTTGCTGAATCGAATCACTGTTATTATGTTGCTCGCCTACCTATTTTATATCCATCTAATGACAACCGTACTTATTCGCTTGTTGATTTATCATTTTATGACTATTAACATGTCAGCTTGTTATGACATCTAAAACATGGTAATTTAGTCAACAATCCGTTCTTTCGTATCCTAAAGTTAATCGAGTTATCATTTATAAGCTTATACATTTGATTGCGTCTATTAAGTCTCGTTATTTTGAGTTTTGTGGGTTTCAAAAAATGGTTTAAAATGGTATTATATATATAATGTATACTGTAACAATGTAAGTTAGGATAATATAGTGTTTTTATTGTGGGCGTATACTAAAGGTGGGTGAAATAATAAGGTAAGCGGATTGAACATGTGTAGATAGATATGGTTATTAGCTAAGTTTAGGGTTTGAGTCATACTTTCGTATCTGATACCACCTAGTTTCCCACACCAGCGTTAGACAGAACAAAATTCAAACCGGGAAGCCATTAGGTGACACTTAAATCATTTACCCTCTTAAGCTACCCTCCTATTTGTGCATCTACGAAGCTTGTAGTTTCTCTTTGAACTTTTCCTGTCTTAGTCACGCTGACAGAGCTTATTGCGTCATAACCAATGGAGTAGTGCAACAAGACTAGGCAGATGGGTGTAGCACATGTTTTCACCGAATGATTCTTTCTGACTAGTCTTACACGCGACCCTCGGCTGCGAAACAGTTACGAATTGTTAAAGCTTACCTTTGAAACCCTAGATACTCGAATGGTAAATCACTAAACTAGTTCGTTGAGGTCAGGTTAATAACCTCCGTGTCAATGGAAAACAATGGTCTTGCAATTAAGTGTTTAACTACCGTAGTCTCATCTAATATTTGGCATGAAGTGCAATTGACAAGATCCCCGAATCGCAGTTTGCAGAACTGTTTTGAAAGACTCCGGAATATCTTTTCTTTCGACTGGATTGTTAATCCCATTCTCAAATGTGATAGAAACCCATTACCAGTTACATCTAAATCACCGACTACTGTCGTCCTGTACAAGCTCAGTGCTCAAATTAAAAACGGAGATAGGTTCGTTTGCTGTTTAATTTGACCTATAGTATTCCTAATACTAAAATATAATTCCCTCTCGTTTAATTTTTTTCACCACATACCTTTGCATCACAGTATCTATATATTTTACTTCACGACCGTTAAGGGTAAACGATGTGTGAGCTACTGGTACCTGAATATAATTTCCCTTCAAATGTCGCTAATGTGATTAATGAGTACAGAATATTATTAGGCGGAAATTTTAGGAGATGGACTTACGTCTGCGCTAAACAAAGTGACAGTTATAAATTACATTACTAGCCTTAATAACCGATGCTAAGTTCAGTAGAATTAGATTCGGAAAATACATGAGTTGCTGTACAGATTTCACCAATCTATAAAATCACTAACTGTTCTATCGATGTCTGACCAAGTCAATAGAAATGAACCATTAAATTACATGATAAGACTTTTTATAACAAAACAAATATGGTTTAACTATACGGTTACTTCAATTAAATTAATTTACAAAAATAGGTAAATCTAAACACTACTGAAGGAGCAAATGCTTACTTACGCCTGTTACTCCCAATGGAGCATAGGCCGCCGACCAGCATTCTCCAACCCACTCTGTCCTGGGCCTTCTTTTCTAGTTCCATCCAATTCTTGTTCATTTTTCTCATATCTATCTCCATTTCTCGGCGTAATGTATTCTTTGGTCTTCCTCTCTTCCTTCGACCTTAAGGATTCCATGTGAGGGCTTGTCTTGTGACGCAGTTCGGTGCTTTCCTCAATGTGTGTCCTATCCACTTCCAGCGCTTCTTCCTGATTTCTTCCTCCACTGGGATCTGATTTGTTCTCTCCCATAGTAGGTTGTTGCTAATAGTGTCCGGCCAACGGATCTGAAGTATTTTGCGTAGACAACTGTTAATAAACACCTGTATCTTGTGAATGATGGATTTCGTAGTTTTCAAGGTTTCCGCCCCATACAGTAGAACTGTCTTGACATTTGTATTGCTAGCTCCCATTAAAATATATTTATCCAGAGGACAAATATTTATTATGCAAAAACACGTTATCTCTTATTTTTCTATTTTCAGTATCCCTTTCGAAGAAAACTTTCTAATGTATGGATTTTGCGAAACACTACATATTTCTTTACTTCAAGATGTTCAAAGGGGTGTCGGATATAACGACTTAAGTGCACAAGTAAATCATGATATACGTGAAAAGGTTATAACAGCGTGCTTAAAGTTTTTCAACGTATGTGATTGGAAATCATTCAATTTTTCAAACAAACAATATATTCTAAGCTTATTGGACTCAATCATACACGAGTACAAACTGCGCTCGGAAAGTGAGACAGATGACACTGATTCTTATTTCACTGATATGCTACTTAAAGCTCAAAAGTTCAGAAATATGTTGGAACCTTATGAATTGCCGAAAACTGACCTATGATTCCCTAACGAGCTTCTATAACGCAACAGCTACATACGATGTACATACCTGCTTTGATATTACATATTTTTGCTTTGAAGTTCCCTGTATTTTGAAACTTAAATCCATTTTTCATTTAAGTACATTTCTGATATTTGTAAAACATTGTGCTGATTACTTGAAAAATATCCCACTCACAACTTTCCTACACCTAGGTTTTTTGTATAACTTTACAAATACGAATAGTTACTAGACGGTCCCAAATAAGTGTAGTAAACTGAGTTGGATTTACTGAGCAAGCCATGCATGTCGCAAGATAAAGGTAACGAGATAGGTTTATTACCCATCGTGTTCATAAATATTATTATAATATTAGCTTTATGACAGCTACACCGAGGCAAGAGTTAGAAAAAATTCCATATTCTTCGGAAATTTGTAAAAAGCAATCAGGTACTTGAAAAAAACTAGAATAACGCATACTTGGATAGTGTTCTTTACTTTACCATGTTGTTTGGTTCCCATACTAAGGAAAACATTGCACTGGTTCGTAATTGATTTATTCTCAACAGATTGGCATAATTCTCAAATAGGTTAACATGATCTATTTGGTAGATTACAGTTATTTCTCGAAATGCATTTATTGGTAAACATTTTCTAAGTGGATAGCCATTCCAAATAACAGTCAAGCAGTTTTCTTCCACCATATGTCAGGACTGCTACAATGTCTTCGCTCTTTCGAAAAAGGTGCTTTTACAAATGATTCTGCGAGCCCGTTTATTCCACAGGCTTATTCTTCACCTCGCTATATATGATTTCGTTGTCAGTCAGTCAGTCAGCTACAACGTAGGACCAGGCACGTATATGCATCGGTCCAAGTTGCCATACCGCATTATCACAACAAGATGAACACCGGATTCATAGAAGTAGTTAATTCAGTGGTGGTAATATATAGAAGAAAGAGTGTGTATAAGGAGAAAGTACAGGAAGGTAGAATTAGCTCCTAGAAAGAAAGATTTAAAGTGATTTTAATCTCTTAGTTTAAAGGAAGACAGAGAGTGAATACACCGACGCCATTGTGATCGATTCTGAGCCATGTCACCAAGAGTCTCCAACCATTGGTTACGATAGTCACGCGGACCCCAACCAGGCAGTCTGCATCTACCAACATGGCTCAGACCAGAAGTTAGTGACTTCAAGCACTGATGCCACGTTTTGGTTTGGCTGCCCCTAGCTTTCTTCCAGTTATCCCCTACACTAGTTAGCATTGCGCGTCGTGGTAATCGGGGTTCAGGCATACGTAGCACGTGGCCCAACCATCTCAGTCGATGAAGGTTCATAACCTCATCAACTGATTTACCATCATTCCCTAATACCCTGCGTCTAACCTCACTATTACTTACCCGGCGATCCCAGCAGATGGGAGCAATATTTCTAAGGCACCTGTGGTCAAATACTAGTAACTTACGAATATCTTCTACTCTTAATGGCCACGTTTCGCAGCCATATAGTAGAACAGAACGAACTACCCCGCAGTATACTCGTCCCTTAATTGATAGAAGGATATCTGGCCCAAGACATAAGTGATGTAAGTTGGCAAAAGCCAAACGAGCTTTTCGAATCCGTGCTGAGATTTCGTCAGACACCAACCCATTAGGGCCGATCAGACTTCCAAGATAAGTGAAGTTGTCAACGCGTTCGACTACTTCACTCCCTATCCTTAGTTCAGGTGTTGATGCAGACCAGTCCTGAAGCAACAACTTGCATTTAGAGGGAGAGAAGCGCATCCCAAACATTCTGGCATTGTTGCTCAGTGCTGCCAAAAGACTCTGCATTTTCTCAGCGTCTTCACCAAACAGAACTATGTCATCTGTGTATTCTATGTTGATAAATGGACCTCCTGGAAGGAGATCAATACCCGAGAATTCAGTCGATGAGAGCGTTATTTCCATCAGTAGATCTATGATGAAGTTAAACAAAAAAGGAGAAAGTGGACAGCCTTGACGGACGCCACTTGAGGTTGCAAAATTAGATGACAGTTCGCCATAAGCTCTGACCCGGCTAGTAGTGTTCGAGTAAAGAGCTTTCACGAGGTTTATGTACTTCTGAGGTACGCCTTTCAATGACAGACACTGCCACAGAACCTCTCGGTCAACAGAGTCAAACGCTGCTTTTAAATCAAGGAAGACCATTATTGTCGGACGCCGATAAGTATGCCTGTGTTCTAGAACCTGACGAATGGTGAATATGTGGTCGATGCAGCCACGACCAGGTCTGAAGCCAGCCTGATTTTCACGTGTTTGCAGTACACGAGTCTTAGGCGTCCAAAAATTATCGAAGCTAGTATTTTAGATGTTATATTGGTTAAACTAATCCCTCTGTGGTTGTCACAGGATGATTTTGACCCTTTCTTAAATATTGGGACGATAAGTGATTGTGACCAGTTAGATGGGATAACGTCTAACTCCCAGATTTTAGCTAAAATATTAGTCAACCTAATCGCTAAAACTAGACCACCATCCTTAAAGACCTCTGGGGTCAATCCATCTGGACCATCTGCATTTCTTCGTTTCAGATTAGCTATAGCCTTTTGAACTTCAGCTAGAGATGGGGGACCTACTTCAATGTTCCATTCACACTGTCTGGGAATAGAGGGTAGTTGTAGAGTAGCTGAAGGCCAGCTAAACTGCTCCTTGAAGTGTTCCGCCCATCGTTCTAAGCGTCTGGACTGGGAGCAGATGAGTGTCGTCTTTTTCCGAAATGGTCTGACTTACACTTGATTTATTAATTCCAGTTTCTTTTATTAGTCTGTAGAGTTGTCTTGTATTCCCTATAGCCGCCGCCTTTTCCATCTCTTTTGCTTTCGTTGCCCACCACTGCTCACGATCATTCTTTAGACTTTTGCTTAATCTAGATCTGATTTCTTTACGCTCTTCATCGTATTCAGAACCTGATGGGATGAGTTTGCGAGAATCTATCAGTGCAATAGACCTTGACGAAATCCATTGGTTCTTTGTAACCCTGTGGTTTAAATCACTAGTAGATGTCACTGCTGTTTCCACAGCTGCTTGTATAACTTTCCAAGCAACATCGGGGTCAGCCTCGTTTTCAGAACTACCTAAGTGTGACCTCAGTTGTTCCTGGAACCTACTTTTGGTTTTCTCATTACTCAATTCGGTTCTAATGAGTCTTTTTTGTGTGGCTTTTTTGCGTCCAGTGAGGCGCAAGCAGATGCGTGCTCGTATTAGGGCATGGTCGGAGTCCAAGCAGGTACTCCAGAATGAGCGACAATCTTCTATCGACCCTCTGCAACGATGACTGATGGCAATATGGTCTATTTGAGTCCATCGTTGGTTTGGTGCAGGGGGTCGCCATGTTAGACGATGTCTCTCCTTATGCTTAAAATTTGTGTTTGCTAAAAATAAACGATTGTCTGAGCACAGTTGCAGCAGACGATCACCATTATCTGTTCGCTGTGCCGGAATACTAAAATACCCACCTAAATGTCTTTCGGTTTCGTTTAAACTACCTACCTGGGCATTAAAGTCGCCTGCTACGAGTACTATGTCTGAACGTTTAGCTTTCTGAAGAAGTTCAGACATCTTTCTGTAAAATTCATCTTTCACTTCATCCGAACTGCAGTCAGTGGGAGCGTAGGCAGAAACGACGAAAAGGCAACGACGTGTGTCCCTATCCTTTCGAGTTCTTACGGAGCCGTTTAGCCGAACAGCGTATAGACGACTATTAACGGGGATCCACTCTAATAGCGCTTGTTCCGCCCTCATGCTTAGTGCTATGCCTACACCTGCCAGTTCACGAGAACTAGTCATCGGGTCGCCAGATACACGGAGGGTGTATCTCGTCGGCTCTCCGTTTTGCTGAGGTGAGGTCAAGTGAATGACCACACTAGGATCCTGTATGTGTGTTTCGGAGACACAGCATACATCAATCGTACCAGATTCTAAGGTTTTAGCCAAAGAAGCCTGCTGACCGATTTGGCATATTGTGCGTACGTTGAAGGCTTCGATGTGTAGTTTGGAGCGAGGTTTCAGTAGACCTGAGACAGTGTTTTGCGCACTAGAATCGTTGGCTGTGGTGACACTTGAAGAGGAAGCCGAAAGAGGGAGTTTAGATTTGAAAGTCGATGTAGGAGGAATAATAGGAATTGAAGAGGTAGGTTGATTATGAATACAGTGGTCTTGAGTGCTGTTAGAGGTATGAGGGCGGTTATCACTTCCCGGTTGCCCACACCGTGGAAGGGTTCTCCTGGAGGTACCTGAAAAGGAAATTGGATTAGAGGTGGTCATAGTGACCTGAGAGCGTGACCGCAGTGCCCAAGGGACAGCTGCTTGAGGTCGGTCACACACGACCTTTTTATGAGTAATTTTTGTGTTAGCTCCGTACTTGTTGAGACCTTACCGCCGGAGACGGATATCCGTGGGATAAGGCGAGGTGTGCATGTTTAGGGTCGACCTTTTCTAACCCCACTGCAACACTCCTTTTGGGAAGGCAGCATCGCTATTATGCTGGTTGTCTGAAGGAAACACCTTACTGCTGTCACACCTCTGCACAGTCAGCAGTTCGACTTCGCCTTCGGACCTTGGTTTTGTTGCTTTTAGTCTTACCGCTTTTCAACCGACCTGTCTGGCATGATAGGACCTTGAGGAACGGTTGTTCCAGCCAGTATAGCTCAGTCGCTTCATCACGATAGGCAAGCCCGACCACCACGTCAAGGTAGCAACAACGGTCAGGTATGATTTCGGTGACCAGATAAGATAGCTAACTCTTAGTCAAATACACAACTGTTTGGTGAGAAAGCTATACTACTTAATGATTATTACTAACCCCACTCTTGATGTGGCCTTACTTCCGTTACACAAGGGTCTCCAGTCCTAGAGTTCAACATATTCAAGAATGGTAGTGGCTGATCCTTTATCTAATGTTCATTTCATATCGCCAAAGAATGGCAAATAACAACTTAGGAACGACTGAAATGTATACGTAGATGATAACAGCAAAAATAGTGGTGACAACCGATCGCATTCGTCTTAAGATTATATATATATATATATATATATATATATATATATATATATAGAGAGAGAGAGAGAGAGAGAGAGTTACTCTAAATATGACTTGCAAAGATTTTTTTGGAGCAATCTTTCGTTAAATTGAATTCTATTAGCATATAACCCTCGTTTCCAGGAGGTGTATAGACCTTAACATATATTTATCTAAAAATAACCATCTAAGGCGTTTCTTAATAGGTACATCTTGATAATTTTTAAGTAGATACAATAGTACCGCAGATAAGAAATATGTAACATACTTTATTATGATATATATTTTTTATTAGAAATCAAGATTCATTGTACAAGTCTAAATTCTATAATTTAAGTTGAGATAGTTAGTGGGAATCCTGACAAATTAGCTTTATAACAGGATAAACTACATAAGGAGCGGCCTGTTTTAGCACATTCGTAGCGCCTAGCACAGCCGCAACCCATGTCGCATAGACGTAACTTCGGTATTTCAGGGGCTTTGACTTTTTGCATGCAAGCATTAGCGTGCATATAAATATCCTTGTCACTATTATTATCTGTCTCAGGTAAACAGATGACTGTTTGTGTTGATAAACGTGATGAAGATACAAAGCGGATGTATCCTGGTTTGGGATTATATGATTGAACATTTGGCAAACTAGCAGACATATTATCAGACAATTTCGTATTTTCATAAGCACTGTCCACAAAATCGGTATTCGTGCAATTACTTTCACTGGGTTGTAAAGAAGCATGCGTGTCATCGAGATACTCTTTTTCAATTAAATCCCCTTCATACTTTAAAACACCAAACTGTGAAAGCGTTTGAGATGAGATCTGATCACACTGTGCCAAACCATTATTCCGAAGGCCTTTACCTCTACCTCGACCACGTCGCCCAATAACATTGGCATTGATCTAAAAAAAAAATCCATACTTCGGTTAATTTGTCCGAAATGTCTTATGCTCAAGTATCACTATTTAACTGTGAAAACAAAATTAACATAACACACCTGCAGTAACTGACTACTGTGATACGTATGGTTTGAGGATATGTGATATTAAGTAGTATATCTTAGTAACTTCTTCTAGTTCGTTTATTATATACTTTTATGTTGATCAGAATAACCAAAACGCCCCTGAGAAGCAAATGTCACAAAGTGGATCCAATAATCAGTGAACTACACAAGTCGTTCAAATTTAGAAGCTTACACATTCACTCGGAATGAAGCATAAGTTACTGTGAAAAGTAAAATTTGCATCCATTCAGTTAGTTTCGGTGACTGATGTTTTGGACCCTGTGGATACGGTAACTTACCTTGAGCAAACGTTCCACTGTTTGGAGCTTTTCCATTTCTGCTTTGTGTTTAGCTGATTCTCGGCGGTGAGCTATTCTTTTTTGCCGAACGGCAATTTGTTCTGGTGTTAAGGTTGGAGTTGGTTTAGGTGAATTCAAGCATTCTAGACTAATTAGTTTGGAATGAGCTGTAGACTGATTCATGTTCTTAATATCAGTTGGAACAGCAGTTTTCTGTGATTGTAAACTTATCTGTCGTGCGGTTAACAACTTTGGAGGTTTATATTCCATTTCATCATCTTCAGAATCGTTGCCAGAGCTAGCCCCGGCCTTCAAATTGTCACTGGTATTAGAATCCTGGTCATCTTCAAGAGCAGGGTTTATGTATTTCTTACGTCCACTAGTTGTTGCAAGTAACCGCTCATCAAAAAACGAAACCTTTTGTTCGGCAACGGAGCGAAATTGATGTAGAAACGCAGAAAAAGCATCACTCTGAAAGACAAACATTGACCAAAAATCATTCTAAAAAGTGAACTGGGTAGTAATGTTAAAATAAACATTGGTTGTTTTATTTTTATCTTTGGTTTACACCATTTAAGTTATTTTACTATAGCTGAACATTTTGCAAACCAATAATAGCTTAAATTATCTGCAATATATATATATATATATATATATATATATATATATATCGTCACACTACTTGCATCCGGGATGGTTAGTAGGTCCAGAGGGTTCACCTAACATATTTAGAAAATCATTACGCCGAATGTCGCTTTCCGAAACTTGTCTTTAAATTCAATTCATACAACTATCCTGAAACCAAATGTCATTCGTAACTCCATGATGGTCTAACAGCAGAAAAATTTTAAACTATATATTCATTGATGTTTGCTGTAGCAGACAATCATATTCAAGAGCATATCGTAATACTACTCATCTAATAATCACGGAAATACGTTATACAAGAGAAGCAAAACTAATCCACTGAATCCTAAACAAAACTTATTTACGTTTCGCTAGGCTAAGTTCACTTAGTTTAATAAACTAAAAAGAAAACGATGTCTTGTAACATCCACTTCAACTAAAACATCCCAGTTTGTATGGGAAATCACCACAAACTAAAAGCCTTTTCCCGGCAGATATCGTGGTGCTCACTAGGAAATTGGAAACATTGTTCACATAACAGAGGATGTAGTTTGTGCAGACCAAAGTCTAATTGTAACCAGAAACAACATTTGGAACAGTTGCTGAATATACAGCACCTGGCGTCCCCTTACGTACCTTTAACCTATGCCCAAATGCATCACATAGTTTCGTTTTTTCTACACTTGTCTCTTAATTCAGAAGTTCTTTCGAAACGACTTAATTGTAATATTATTCCATTTTTAACCATATAGCTGTTATTATCGAGTACAACTATACTCCATCCTCTAAAATTCCATTTGATGTGCTGAACTATCTACATAATTTCATCCTATATGGAACTGTGACCTTGTAACTAATTTGCATGAATGTCAGGGATATTACGAACTTCACTGCATCTTTCAGTTTTCATTAAAAAGTCCTCTTACTCCAGTGAACGTTTCTATTTTTTCTTGTAAACTGCAAAGTAGCAAGTTATGGATTGTTAGTGCTGGAGTATAATAAGTGACTTTGGTGACTGTATGCATCGAACATACTTGGAGACGTTATCTGCCCGTAGTTCAGACCAAATGAGGGAGTTATATGAGCTGAATAAAGTGCAAACCAATAACAGTGTAGCATGTTATAGTGTCACTTCGTGACGGCAGTTATGTTCAGTGGTTAATTTCGGTCTGTAGAAGATCCGGTTATCATATTCCAGTTGGAGACCACTCCGTGTTTTCATACATATTATGGAATACTTATCCTACTATGTTCTGAAGTTTGCAATAACATATTGATGGTACTTAATAAGTGAACCAAAACATACAATCGGACTGAACTGTACTAATACCACAGCATATAAGAGATCATCTGTCTTGGGTTTTAAAGATAGACAGACACCTTGTCCCAAACCAATTGGTTGAAACGGTCGTTTAAATCAAGTATCGACTCTTGCTAGGTTACAACTTAATGTTACTTCACTAGAAAGCCCAGGTGAGTATTAATTACATTTAAAAGATTCCATAAAAATTGGTAGCAGCTTTGCTTTACGAACCACTTATTAAAAAAGTGAACTTTTTGCCGTCCCTAAAAATTTTAATTTCCGTCGTTCTTATAACGCCACTTGTATGCAAAACAAATAAAGCATGTCATTTAGGAGCAAGACCGCGCAGAACTTAATTAAGAGTTGTAGACTAGCAACTGCGTGTCAATTAAGTCTGTTCCAACTCTCGTAAGCTACCAGTAGCCTGGTGTTAATAAAACAGTTCGATTGGTTGGAAGCGACGCTCTACGGTTATCTTCAAAGGCATCTGTACAGCTGGGAGAAATGTTTTGAGGAAATTTAACTTGGTTCATAGCCTCGGGAAATGAAACTAGTCAGAACACGCTTTCTGTTTCGTTAACAAGCATTCATTTACACAAAAATATAATTAATTTACTTCTGTATTATCAGTCTGCTCGAAAGAGTATTCATCGAATTCTAAGAACCTTGACCCAAAGTCGTCTGTGGCTGGTAAAGTTGAATCTGAATCTGATAAACTATGAGTAATTGTTAAATAAATATGGTACCTGACATAGCTGCGAAACACTGGTGAAGTAACAAGATAGTAGATATTAAATTGCTTCTGCAATACAATAACCATCATTGATATCTAACTTACACAGTTTATAATAATTCTAAATCACTACACTGGTGATTCGTTCAATAATTGGTTTATGAAACTCCTGAAAATGCAGACGTGATTACCAAAATCCTAAATGAAAGGAGAAACAAAAGCCAATGCATTTGGGAAAATATAACCTGTTTTGCGATGTTAATTTTGATCCAACTGCTATTCCATCAACAATTATTGAGAACTTAGCATTATTGTAAATAGTTGACAAGTCACCAATAGCTTCCTTGATAACCAACGAAGTTTGTTTACTACACTTCATATTGTGTAATACTGAAGAGTGGGTATACAAACTTTTCTTCGATATATATATATATATATATATATATATATATATATATCGAATCCATAAGACACCATTTTAAAAAGTCTGGAAAGCCTGTTAGGTGGAACGTAATATGATATGATATAATATTATGTGAGTCATCAAGTCTGCTGGCAGAAGTAGCTACTTCATACAGTAAGTAATATTATATCATATCATATTACTTACTTATTTACGCCCATTAGTCCTAATGTAGCATAGCCCGCCGACCAGCATTCTCAAACCCACTCTGTCCTGGGCCTTCTTTTCTAGTTTCATCCAATACTTGTCCAGCAGACTTGATCAAGTCTGCTGGCAGGAGTAGCTACTTCGTTCAGTATACTCTAGAGTATATTGGATGAACCAATAAGATTTCGATGGGAAAACCACTCAAAAAGCTACAAAACGTTCTTGCCTTTTAGCTGGTGTTGACTTGTCATGAGAATAACAATAATTCATGTACAATGACTGATTCTTTATGTTAAAACTATTGACCAATGAAATTTAAATGAATTATCATAGGTCGTCCTATAAGTAGGGACTTCGTCGCAGCCCAAGGTCGTCTGTGTACTTCAATAAGACTGCTTTTGGAAATATAACAGCAAACAATAACAGGAAACAGAATAAGCGATGATGTGAATGACTAAATATGTTTAGTTGTGAAAGAATACTTGCAGTTAAAAATTTGGCAATTAGTACAAGTTCACATATTGCAAGGTCAAAAATAAAGCTTGTAGCGTAAATAAATCCCCAAAATAAATAGTTCTGCAAGGTTTGGACATCGGATGCTAGCCACATTAGTTTTAATGGACTTATCTAGCTGAAGGAAAAGAAAAGCCTCAGACGACCCAGAATGGCTTTACAGAATTATATCATACACTTACACGTTATCTTAATTTCGTAACGACAGTAAACGGTCACACTCCTCGAAGAAGCACTTCACGTAGGCGGTCTGTCGCTAGACCACGAGAGACAGATAACCCCGATTGGTGCTGACATCATACCCAGTACGGAAAGTCCTCCTGCTCACCGTGGAATTTGACCAAGACGATGTGCTTAAGGTTCTTAGCACCTTAAACATGGAAAAGTCAACAGGACCAGATGAACTACACCCTAAAATATTGAGACATATTGCACAATATATCGCGGCCCCACTGACTGTGATATTCAATATGTCACTTAGTCAAGGTGTATTACCTATGGACTGGAAGGACGCAATCGTCACTCCCATACATAAAACAGGACCAAGACAACTTCCATCGAACTACAGACCTGTATGCCTCACCAGCGTTGTAGTTAAAATATTGGAAAGAATAGTCAAAAGGACAATAATAAAATTTATTGAAACAAATAACTTGTTAAACATAGAACAAAATGGTTTTAAAAAGGGTCTATCCTGTACAACAAACCTCCTTTTAGCAAGGGAATTCTGGATAAAGGCGCTAGACAACGGAAACTCAGTGGATGTTGTCTACAAAGACTTCAGTAAGGATTTTGACAAGGTGCCGACAAATAGACTCTTATTGAAGTTGGAAAACCTTGGTATTGCTGGACCCCTTTCAAAATGGATTAAGGACTTCCTAGTAGGTCTTAGTGTGGTGTTTGAATGAACTAATGACTCCTTTGTACTTGTTGAATGTTTGATTTCGAATTCTAAATACAGTACATTCGTTAGTGATTGTATAGTACTTCTTGATTCAATTGCGTTATCCCTGGGATTCGTAGTTCATACTATAATTCAAATACTTCTAATTATCATATTGGCGTCGCGATGGGGCCTGCGATGGAACAGTTAGATTTTCATTCGGATTTTGATGCTTATGAGGATTACTTTGAAAGGTTCGAAATCTGGGCTATGACCAAGGAAGATGATGAGGATATTAACATTGTGGCACATTTTCTCACATTCATTGGGAAAGAAGCATATCGCTTATTAAAAATTTTGGCTTCACCGGAAAAGCCCATTTCTCTTCCTTATACAACTCTCAAGGGACTACTTCTAGACTATGCTAAGTATACAAATTTCGAATGCGGTAAAGGGAGATTTCGTAAAATAATTCATGAGGATATAAAAAATTCTACTACATTACGTCGCCCCATCCGAGTGTATACTCAAGATTATGCAGATAATTTGTTTGGGAATTGCGATGCAGTTGACGAGGATGGGCACAAGTTTGGTCAATGGTTGTCCTGTGGCAGGTTCCACACTTTTAATTCATGTAAATTTCGTAATTCTAAGTGCTTTAAATGTGTTGATGTTGGACATATTCAGTCAGTTTGTAATACTACTGTTCATGTTACTGCAACTAATATTAAGTCTTTTGATTCTGATTCTATTAATCTGAATATTTATAATGATCATTTATCTTTATCGACGATTTCAAAAGACAGTTTAGAGTCATATAGCAGTTCAGAGTTAAATGGAACTCAAGATTCTTGCGAGACAACAATTTCTAATGTATCAACCTATCAGATTTCTCATGTTATTGTACCAGATATGGTTTTTCCTAATGATTCACATATTTCTGGTGAAATTTCCTAGAAATCTGGTGAAAATATTTCGAATAAACCTAATGATGATCAAAAAACTGATGTAGTTTTGATAGATGCTGATTTTTCTAACGATCCTTTACTCTGCAATGACATTCTTAATAAATTCGAGGAAACTATTTCAGAAGAATCGAATCTTGATGTCATATCAAATATTGTTTGTCCTCATGATGCATTTGTTTCTTGTGAGAAACTTGTTCAATGCGAAGCACGAGTATTAAATGAGTTAGAGTCTGATTACAATTCAGATGATTCCATATCAATTATTGTTTGTCCTTATCATAAATTCACTTCCAATGTTTACTCTAGTCAAATTGAGAAAGATGATTTAAATGAAGCCACATTATTCATAACTTGGGGATATGAAGATCCGACATTATTTCGTGGGGGAGGATAGTCTGAATGTCTATGGTTCAAATTCTAGGTAGCAGTACTTTCAGTACTCAACGGACATGATGATTGTACACAATCCCAGAAATCAAGTGAGTCTGTTCCGATTTCAGTTGTTTATTCTAATAATAATGAGTGCATTCTAGATAATACAGAGTCTTTATCCAATACATTGTCGGACAGACACAGCATGAACTTGAGGAGAAGACGTACAATTGATTACAGACACTTAGACTCTAATTTAAGCTGTGGCGGATGTGGTGTTTGAATGAACTAATGACTCCTTTGTACTTGTTGAATGTTTGATTTCGAATTCTAAATACAGTACATTCGTTAGTGATTGTATAGTACTTCTTGATTCAATTGCGTTATCCCTGGGATTCGTAGTTCATACTATAATTCAAATACTTCTAATTATCATACGTAGACAGAAGGTAAGAATAAATTCCAAGTGCTCCATCTGGAGACCAGTACTTAGTGGAGTACCTCAAGGTTCCGTCCTAGGTCCTTTACTTTTTATACTGTATGTAAATGATCTTCCAAGTAAAGTACAATCTCCAATGTTAATATACGCTGACGATGTAAAGATCTGGCGAGTAATAACTGGAGACACAGACTCAGATGCATTTCAAGCAGACCTAAATAATATAATTAACTGGTCTAAAGAGTGGCTGATGCCTATCAACGCGGCAAAGTGTGTCTACATGCACTTCTGGGACTCAAATGTTAATAGATATAACATAGGGGAAGTGCAATTACCAGTGGTTCGGTCCCATAAGGATCTGGGGGTGACAGTCAGTCAGGATCTTAAGACGACGACCCATTGTTGGGAGGTTTCAGTTAAGGGGTTTCGAACCCTCTAGGCTTTAAAACGGACATTCACAAAGCTAGATACTATTATGTTCACCAAAGTATACACGTCTTTAATGAGAACTAAACTTGAGAACTGCGTTCAGGCCGCAAGCCCATGTTTAAAAGGTGACTCGAATATCCTAGAAAAAGTACAGAAAGCAGCTACCGTGCAATTCCAGAACTCCGGGGTTTACCATACAAAGAGCGGCTTGAAAAGATAGATCTCTTCACACTGTCCTATCGCAGACTAAGGGGAAATTTAATTTTGATGTACAGAATACTGAGAAACGATTTTGGACCTAACTTACTCTCTCTTTTTCTTCCCACTAGATCGGGACATCTCGGAGGACATAGCAGGCGAGTAGAAAAGCCAAGAACGAACAAAATACCCGTGGCATACAGGTTTTCACACCGATTCATCAATACTTGGAACCTGCTGCCCAAAGTAGTGGTGTCCGCACCCTCAGTTGACTCGTTCAAGAGAAGTCTGGATACTCACAGAAGCATACTAGAAAAGGAATAACATAGGCCATAGGCCTTCTGTCCTTACTTTACAAACCTGAAATCTGAATTGCAGAAAACCCTGCAATTTTTCCGACGCAAAATCGATCGACACGAAAAACGATTCGGGAAACTTCCAAGCCGGCACGCGTTAATGGCAACCGTAGCCGGCAAACTTAGCCGTCTGTTATACGTCGCAGATGTTATAACGAGAGTTCGCCAACTCGTCGATACTGGCGCAGACGTTAGAGTTCCCCCTGCAAATTCTAAAGACCGACTTCACGAATCGGTTTTAAATCTACAGGC